TTGAGAGTCCCTTGGACTGCAAGGAGATCCAACCAGTCCATCCTAAAGGAAGTCAGTCCTGGGTGTTCATTGGAAGGACTGATGTTGAAGCTGAAACTCCAATACTTTGGACACCTGATGTGAAGAGCTGACTCACAGAAAAGATCCTGATGCTGGGAAAGATTGAGGGCAGGAGGAGAAGGGGACGACAGAGGATGAGATGGTTGGATGGCATCACCAACTCAAAGGACATGAGTTTGGTTAAACTGCGGGAGTTGGTGATGGACAGGGAGGTCTGTGTGCTGCAGTTCACGGGGTCGCAAAGAGTCAGACATGATGAGAGACTGAACTGAACTGAACCTATTTCAGAGAAGAAAAGACACGTATAAAAAGTTAAAAAGTGACAAATATTAAATGAATATTTTTTTTTAGGGAAACTAAAATTCTTTTTTTTTGAAGCATAAGGATGATACCTCCGTTCTCAGTTGTGTCTGACTCTTCGTGACCCTGTGGACTATAGTCCACCAGGCTTCTCAGTCTATTCCGTTTTTCCCAGCAAGAATATTGGAGTGGGTTGCCATTTCCTTCTCTAGGGTATCTTCCTGACCCAGGGATCGAACCAATGTCTTTTGCATCTCCTACACTGCCAAAGGATTCTTTACTGCTTGCCACTGGCAAAGCCCAAGGAAAACACAGGACTTTTGTATCTTGGAAGAGTGCTATTACCACCCTCTCTTCATCCTTGTTTTTTCAAAATACATGGTTACAAAGAGAAAGAAATATGTATCCGCTCATTGGCCACCAAAGATTCTTAAACAGGACTCAAGTTTGAGTTTTAGATACAAGGAAAAATGTCCATCCTTATCCTCAAATCATTCTAAGAACTCAGTTTGCTTCCTGTGGTTTAGCTGAATCTAGATTGAAAAAGGAAAAAAAAATATATATATATATATATGAAACTTTTATATTTCTGCTTGAAAACATCTTCAAAATAGTAATTTAGAAGAACTGAAAACCTACAGGGAGTATTTCATTTTGAGTGTCTTTACTTTTGAATCAATTTTAGAAACAGTAGTAGGCAAAAAGAAACTATGTTTTACTGTGCTCCTACTTATAAATGACTGATTATGAAATAAGCACATGGTAGTACATATGTATGTGTGTTTATTGATAAAAGTATCAAAACAGAATCAGAATTTATTGTCTCCAATTCAGCTTTAGAGTAGAAGAAAGCATTAAGAAGAAAAAGTCTATGTAGGTGAAAGGGGGAAGGTAAATTATTTAAGGGTTTTTAGATTTGATATTTTACTGTAACCCTTAGAATCTGTGAATTAAATTCATTAATTTTTTTCATTAATATTACTTATTATTTTATTCTTGTGAATAAATGTAAAGTATTTCTTCCAGTAATATTCTTTCCAGCTTAGCTACAAAGTATTCTTGGGCTTTCCTTGTGGTTCAGCTTGTAAAGAATCTGCCTGCAATGTGGGAGACCTGGGTTTGAACCCTGGGTCAGGAAGATCCACTGGAGGAGGAAATGGCCACCCACTCCAGTACTCTTGCCTGCAGATTTCCATGGACAGAGGAGCAGGACAGGCTGCAGTTCATGGAATCGCACAGAGTCAGACACGACTGTGCGACTATCTTTCACTTTCAGGCATTTCTAGTACCATCTTTCAGCACAAGTGACACTGATCAACTTTTGTTAAGAAATGTGAACTTAAACGACTAAGTAATAGAATAATCAGAAAGAAAAACGTAACTGCTCATTGACTACCAAGGAACTTCATTCTCAGTTTGGGAATGAAATTTTATATGTCCATATTTTCTTGGTAATTCACTGTCAACAATTCAGAGTAGAAATGAGACTTCATTAGAAGTCAGGACACCCGAAAGTCTTTTCCTGGCTTTTATTATGGCATAAGAGGAGGCACGACTTTATAAAGCATTTGTTGTCGTTCAGTCGCTTAGTTGTATCTGACTCTTTGTGACCTCATGGACTGCCACCTGCCAGGCTTCCCTGTCCTTCACCATCTCCCAGAGTTTTATAAACCATTATAAAATTTTAATGCCAAAATGTCTGCTCTGTGACCAGAATTACAAAGTAGACATATGAAAATCAATGGTGGTCTTAGTTGGGTTCCATACCAAAAACCAAACAAAATTTGTTTTGCTTTGGGCACCATATTTTGAGTTTCCATCTTCTTTCTATATATATAGATATAAACAAGCTCTTCAGAAAGCACCTCCATAACTGTTCTAGTATAAAAATAATCATAGCAGATGATTTCATATCTTACTTTTAGTCATTTAATCCCCATAGCTGCATTTTCCTGGGTCTCTTTTTTTTTTTTTTGAAGGCAAAATTGATCTTAAATAGCAGTTCTATCATATCTGTTCTTTAGACATGTAACTGCATCAGCAGCTCTTGGTTTCTGCATGTTTGGGGGGGATAAAGTATATACAGTCCTGGATAATAGAGCACCTCTTTTTGTGACCTGAGAAGTAATGGTTACCTCTGTTTTTAGTGGGGCTTCCCAGGTGGTGCTAGTGGTAGGGAACCCACCTGCCAATGCAGGAGACATAAGAGATGCAGATTTGATCCCTGGATAGGGAAGGTCCCCTGGAGGGGTGCGTGGCAACCCACTCCAGTATTCTTGACTGGAGAATCCCAGGGACAGAGGAACCTGGCGGACTATAGCCCATGGCATCGCAAAGAGTCAGACATGACTAAAGCGATTTAGCACACACCCACTGTTTTGTTTTTTTTTTTTCTTTACACACTGTTTTTAATCAGATCTCCATGACTATGATATTCTTTACTGGGTATACCTTTCATCACCAATCAGTGAAATACCATTACTTGCCAGCTCTTCATTACATTCTTCAGGTAATCGTTAGTTAAGCCCTTCCTTATATGTCTGTCTCAGAACTTGCTGCTATAGTAGTTTTCTTTGAACTTAATCTGTACTTATAACAATAATTTACCCTGTTGCATTTCTCCAAGACTCAGGCCCTCTATCCTAACTTCCTTAGAAGTAGACCTACTCTGTCAGCCCTGTTCATATCAAAAACTAATTTTCATCTTTCATCTGCTTTTTCCTAGATAGCAGGACAGTACAGGTGCTGCTTCACAGGATTAGAGGGATCAATTTTCTACCGAGGACTAGATCCCTCTAGAGAGTACAAATACCTCTTACGATGGGGATGCCACAGTCTCACAGAATTCTCATTCCAATTTTGGGCACCCTTTGTCCATGGGAAGATTATCTTTTCATTGTGCCAAAATTTGCTTCTGTAAAACTCTTATCCACTGGTTCCGGCTTTGTTTCCTGTGTCCAGCCAGAAATGCATCTAATCTTGTTTTCACATAAAGCTAGAGCTGGCAAGTCCTGGAGTCCTATTGGACCTTAAGAAGGAAAAGAGTAATTTGTAACAGCTGTGATTTCACACTACATACACAACCTATGTTGTTTCACCTTCTTATTAATATTTAAAAAGATAGGTTAAGAAAGTGTCTGATTCATTGTTTATGCTGTTGTTTATAGTTGGGACTGGCTGAAATATAACCCAGGTGAGACACCTCTATTAGTCTGCCATAACTGCCTAAGACTTGTCCTAGACTGCTGTGGTTAAATACCACACATTGAGTTACTTAAATACAGAAATTCATCGTCTTACATTTCTGCAACCTAAAAGTCTGAGGTCAATCAAGCAAGCAGGATTGCTTCTATTGGTTGTGAGCAGAAATCTGTTCCAAATTTCTCTCCTGAATTCTGGTGGTTTACTGGCAATCCTGGTGATCCCTGAAGTGTAAAAGCATTACCCCAATCATTATCTTCTTGTTCACATGATATTCTCCCTGTGTGTCCGCAGTATGTCTAAACTTCTCCTTTATGAGGACATCAGTCCTCCTTTATGAGGACATCAGTCATATTAGATTGAGGCCCAGCATAATAATCTCATTTTAGTTTGATCATCTACAGAAATCTTGTTTCTAAATAGAGTTACATTCTGAGGTACTGGGGGTTGGGACTATTATATTATGCAATGTAGTAAATTTGTTGGACAGTGAAAATAATATCTAAAAGATGTCTAAGATGGATTATGTTTTTCTCCTTGAGAACTTAAATTCTTCAAAGTGTTTATAACATACATCAAATGTTTATCACATTGTGCGGTTAGAATAAGTCAGTGGAAAATGGTTATCAAGAAGAGAGATTTCATTATCTCACCACTTCATTTGAGTATTTAGAAAAATACTGGAAAATCTAACAAATATTTTAATCCATTGTTTTAAAAAGGATTTTCTTAGACATAACTCTTAGAGAAAATACTTAAACTGCAATGTAGCCTTTCATGCACAGTTGTTTCCAGATTTTAAATCCTGTAGTTTCAATACTTTTGAAGCCTACATTTTCCCATTCAACTGAGTTTGTTTCTCATGTTTCTTTTAAAAAATAAATATTGAGATCTGTAATTGTGGATGAAATAATATTTATATAAAAATTTTTTAATGCAGTAAAACTAATTAAAATAACCACAATTGCATACATTTAAAAAAGAAGAAAAAGGCAGAGAGAAATGTTTCTTCTATAGGTGAAAATCATATGTAATAAATGACCTAGTTACTGAAAGGACTAAGCAAGTTTCTGTGCTGGGCAACATGCTACCAAATGAAGAGAACACAGAACTCGCCATATGCAGCTACTCAGAGCAATCGTGCACGAAACTCTTTCAAGAACAGTGTCCTGTGACAAGTCAGCCCAGGAGTGTCCTGGATCCATGACCATAACTCCATGCTCAGTGAGCTCCTAACACTACAGAAGGTTCTGCAGGCTTGCCAGATACTTTCCCAATATATGTGCACACTCTCCATATCAGTGTCTTCTAACCGCAAGTTTCGTCCCTTCATTCCTCTTTTTTTATGATTATGGACCTTGCTTTATATCTTTTTTAAAACTTTAAATTATCTATTGGGGTGTAGCTGATTAACAGTGCTGCGATAGTTTCAAATGAACAGAAAAGGGACTCAGTCACACATACACATGTACCCATTCTCTCCCAAACCCCTCTCCCAACCCGGCTGCCACATAACATTGAGCAGAGTTCCACGTGCTATACAGTAGATCCTTGTTGGTTATCCATTTTAAATAGAGCAGTGTGTACAGGCAACCATAAATTCATTCTCTAAGACCCCGAGTCTCTTTCTGTTTTGTAAGTTCATTTGTATCATTTCTTTTTACTTTCCACATATAAGGGATGTCATAGGATATTTCTCCCAAATATATAGGCCCCCAAATATTGACCCTGATTACAGATATTAACCTGTTAACAGAGCTTTATAATGGTTTATCTTCTCTTTAAACACATTTCCGTCTTCCAGTACTCTTATCTCTACATCCTGGAAACTCCCAAGCCTGGTTCCTCTTTAATGGTTAGTTTACTTAACAAATGTATATTAAATGTTTGCTAATTGCATGACTAGAGGGCACTGATGATAAAATGGTTTATTGTCCTATATTCCTCAAGCCACTGGCATCTTTCCAATTCCACATCTCTTTAACCCCATAAATTCTCCAAATTTAATGTCCCATGTTAGCCTTAAATAGATTCAATTAGGATAATAGGTACCAATCTAATAGATATGTTGAGTTAGAGACAAACTTGGAAAAGATAAAACCAGTAGTTCTCAGCTATGGAAATGTTGCCCCCAGGGCACACTTGATAACATCTGGAGATATATTTAGCTGTATCAAGTGGAGGAGTAGATGTTAATGTCATATCTTGGGTGGAGGGCAGGGGCCCTGTTGAACATCTTAAAATGCATGGGATAGCCTTCCCCCACAACAAAGTGTCCAGCCCAGTGTCAGTGGTACCAAAGTTGAGAAATCTTGACATAAATTAAAGGAGACTTAAAATTACTTTTTGGTGTGGATGAGTAACAAAGACACAGATAAATTATCAATTTGTATTTTTACTAAAAATAAAATAAGCTTACATTTCTGAAACAGATTGTTTACCTAAAAAATAAACTTTCTGATTCATAATTGTTTTAACAAATGTCCAGAACAGGTGAGCATTTTTCTTGAGTCTTCTCAAGTATATTTCAGCCTAAAGGCAGTGGGAAAAAATATGAGCACATTTCAGGATTTTTACAATATTCTTAGCGTTCTGGGAACAACAAATATCAGTTCACCAAATAAACAAGCAAATCCCAAAAGGCATGTCACTCACTGCTCTAAGACTTTTCCTGAATTTTTTCTACTATTTTTAATTATGAAATTATCTTCTTTAGATATCAATAATATATTTTCAGTCTCATCCCTGCTGTTTTTAATAGTTGCTATTACCATCAAAATAGCCTAATGATTGACATCAAAATCTTGGCTCATTTTCTCAATATCTACATTTGTTTTACCTTTATGGTACATAGCTGCAATTGCTGTACTATTTGGAGTTCATTTGTACTCAATTATTTGAAGCTGATTTGTTATTCTTTAACATTTCAGCAATAAATTGTCCTTTCAGTTGATAGCTATTTTAACACAAAAATACATAAGAATGCAATTTCATAATAGTTCATCCTTGTGACTAGTTTTTCTGTTCATTTTGCTGTCTTCGCTTGTTTTTGCAAAAATGACATTTAAAAATCACTTTAGAGGAACTTCCCTGGTGGTTCAGTGGTTAGGACTTGATGCTCCCACTGCAGAGGGCATGGGTTCAATCATTCAATCCCTGGTTGGGGAACTAAAATCCTATGTGCTGTGTAGTGTGGCCAAAAAAAAAAATTAATACATTTAAAAAATTAAAATTGTAAATTTAAAAATTTAGGTAACTTACACCTGATTTTAAAGGAGGATTTATATTTTTCACAATTATAATTCAAAAACTTTAAATTACAAAAAGTTCCTGTGTTAAATATTTTACATTCATTGACACTCTGGAATAGTCATTTTGAGGGGTTTTGATTCATTTTATTTTTCCCAAGTATTAGTAATCTTTACCTCCACTTACCTTGTTTTGGGAAAAAAAATCTCTTTCTTTCTTAAGTAGGTCATAGCTATGTATATACATGTTTTATCTTTCATTTTAGATTACAAACTGCAGAGAAGAAATATGCCCTTCTCAACCTTATATTTCCTGACACACTCAGCCAAATTTCAGGAAATTAGAGTTGCATATATAACCATATGTATCTTCTATGTCTGTAATTAAAGACAAACTGAATTGATCTCTAATGCACTAGGGGGAAAAAACAGGAGTAAGTCAAGAGCTTGATATGGCTCTGGTATTAACGAGCATGAGCTATGTGACCTGAGGCAAGTTATATGATCTCTTGGGCATCAAGTCTTCCAGTTTAAGTATTTTTTTTTTAAACCATCCACCTAAATATTATAAAATGAGCAGTGAGCTCGCTTCCCATTTTCCCTCAGAGGTGAGTAGAAATAAAGGTCCCTTATTCATGCAAAAATACCTGCTGCTGCCAGCTTTAATCAGAGTCTAAAAGGCATGGTCTCCTGGCAGCTGCTCCTATAAGAGGAGAAAATAGTGGATGACAGCTTCTGGCTTGGGAAGCCTCTGGCAGTTACAGATCCTTTCAGTAGAGTCCCAGTGCTGATTCCCCTTCTACTGGTATCCAATCAGCAGTGTTACTAATGCTCACTATACCACAGATGACTGGGAAATGTTCATATAGGTAAACGTAAATGTTGCAAACCACAGGAGAAAATCTGGCAGCAGTTAATAATAAAACTATTGTTACTCTGCTCCAAAACCACACTCTTATACTCTTTGTGATCCTGAGATTGCGACGGTGCAAATCACACTTCTCCTTTCCAGCTGGCTCTTAGTTAAGCTCTCCTAATAGGGGGCTTAGAAGAAATCTGGAGGGTGGATGAAAGAAAAAGAGGTTGCTCTTTCCTATTTGCCTTCCCTTTATGTTAGCATCCCTTTCTTCCCCTGGCTGCATCACCCAGCCTCGTTTCCAGTTTTTTCTCAATTCTCAGTACCACCCTCATCATACTCATCAGATCTATCAGCCTGGGTGGCTGATGCAGAATTTCAGAAGTCTTAGTATGAACTCCAGAGCATCCTACTCCAAGATTCTGCATTCTGACAACCCTAATCGTATTCTTTTGTTCCCCTAGCTCCAGAGCAGTACCTGCTTCCTGTAGTTGCTAGCCCAGTGTTGCTTTGTTCATCCATTTTAACTGTGTGTGTGTGTGTGTGTGTGTGTGTGTGTGTGTGTGTGTTGTCAGTCATGTCCGACTCTTTGTGACCCCATGGACTGAGACCCACCAGGCTCCTCTGTCCACCGGATTCTCTAGGCAAGAATACTGGAGTGGGTTGCCATTTCCTTCTCCAGGGGATCTTCCCCACCCAGGGATTGAACCCAGGTCTCTCGCACTGCAGGTAGATGCTTTACCATCTGAGATACCAGGGAAGGCTTTACTGTCCTTCAATAACTATAAACCAAATTCCTTATATTAATGACATTTTCTCAGACTGTATTAAAACTAATGCCACAGTTATTAAAATATCCAAATAGACAGATGCACAAGGACAGTAGTCTATAATGGAAAGTTAAACACTTGTCTAGGGTGTGAAGGTGGAACTCTACTACCGTGCTGTATACATCAGTGTGTATGGATCTATGCAGGACCTAGTGACTGAGAACAAGGCTGTTTATCTAAACAGCTAAGGAACTTGGGAAATCAAGGCAGTTACTATCACATTGAGAGCTTAAGGATTTTTAAGATGGCAAAATAGCCCATCTGCTGACCTCATCCTGTAACACCAACCTTAAACTACAGCAATAGAAAAGAAACTTGGATTCTATCAG